AATGCAAAGTTATGCACTTCGGGGTTAAGAATGCACAAGCAACTTACACACTAAATGGTAGTGAATTAGGGATAACCACACACGAGAAGGATTTGGGAATTGTTATAGACAACAAATTAGGCAGCAATATGCAATGTCAATCTGCAGTTGCTAAGGCCAGTAAGATTTTGTCATAAATAGGGGCATAAATTCTCGGGATGAAAATATAATTTTGCCTCTTTATAAATCGCTGGTAAGACCACACCTTGAATATGCTGTGCAATTTTGGGCACCTGTTCTAAAGAAGGGTATCATGGCACTGGAGAGGGTCCAGAGACGAGCTACAAAATTGATAAAAGGAATGGAGCATTTTAGTTATGAAGAAAGGTTAAAAAAATGAAATCTGTTTAGTTTGGAAAAACGGCGCCTGAGAGGGGATATGATAACTTTATACAAATATATTTGGGGCCAGTACAAACCTTTATCTGGAAATCTATTCATAAACAGGGCTATACATAGGACACGAGGTCACACATTTAGGCTGGAAGAAAGGAGATTTCATCTAAGGCAAAGAAAAGGGTTTTTTACAGTAAGAACAATAAGGATATGGAATTCTCTGCCTGAAGAGGTGGTTTTGTCAGAGTCCATACAAATGTTTAAACTGAAATTGGATAAATACTTACAAAAACATAACATACAGGGATATAATTTCTAATTAGTGGGGTAATAGCTGCTTGATCCAAGGAGACATCTGACTGCTATTTTGGGGTCAAGAAGGAATTTTTTCCTAGTTTGTGGCAAAATTGGAAGCGCTTCAGACCAGGTTTTTTGCCTTCTTTTGGATCAACAGCAACAACATTTGTGAGGAAGGCTGAACTTGATGGACGCAAGTCTCTTTTCAGCTGTGTAACTATGTAACTACCGTATATACTCGTGTATAAGTCGATCTCGTGTATAAGTCGAGTGCTGTTTTGTGACCAACAATTGAGAAATATGCTATGACTCGTGGATAAGTCGAGGGTAAAACTTGGGGCTATGAAATTCTGTGATTTTTTTTTTTTTATAATTTTGTCAGATTTTACCTAAGATCCTGGAACAATCAAACATGTCAGTTAAAAACTGGATTTAAAAAAAATCAGCAATCATGAACATGAACATTTAATTTATTAACTGTAACGAATTCCTTAAACTTATTACAGGGAACTTTTTAGTTATGCCCTCCAAAATAGCACAAACATTGTTTGGCCTATACAAATCCTTCAAACTCTGACTCATCATCGTCAGAATGTCCGAATAAGTCACGATATTGTTCTTCGGTGATGCCATCAGCATAAACGTCGTCTTCGCTATCGTCATCTGTTGAATTGGCATATGAAGCCGATTCATCTTTCTCTTCATAGATGGCGTCGTCCTCTGATCCACCCATAGCGTTACTAATTCCGCATTTCAGGAACGACTTCTTGATCATTTCTGGTGATATTGAATCCCAAGCATCCTTTACCCATTTTGATATCAAATCAATGTCTGGTTTCTTCAAGTTTCCTCCTTTCGTTAACTTTGCTTGACCAGAACACATCCATTGTTGCCACATATTGTGTATTCGGTCCTTGAAAGGCTTGTTGAGACAGACATCCAGTGGCTGGAGCATTGATGTTAGGCCGCCTGGAATCACTGCTAACGTGGTTGCCATTTTTTTTGCTTCATCCTTCACATCCTCTGTTATATGCACACGGAACATATCCCACACCAATAACGACGGACATTTTCTTAGCGCTGCGCCTGGTCGCCTGCCCCACACATTGCGCAGCCACAACTTTGTACCCTCCTCATCCATCCAGCCTTTAGGGTGAACACGAACAGTTACTCCTGCCGGAATTTTTAAATTCTTTGGCATTGTTTTCCTCTTGAATATTATTACCGGGCGCAGTTTAGTGCCATCTGCCAGGCAAGACAGTACAACAGTGAAATGTGACTTTTCATGACCGGTACAGTTTTTTCTCCAACGCTTTCTACAGTTCGATTGCCAGGCATATCAAATGTCATCAGAGTTTCATCCATATTACCAATGTTATTCAGAGCGAAACCATTCTTTTTTCTCTGTTTGATAATGAATTTGTGGAATGACATGACCTTTTCGTCCAGCTCTTTAGGCAGCTTCTGAGCGATCTTTGTTCGCTGACGAAGACACAATCCATATCGGTTCATGAATCGTGTGCACCAACCAGACGATGCTCTAAATTTTGTCATACCTTCAGTCGTCAAATATTTTTCTTTTGCTATCTGAAGTGCTCGTATTCGAATGCTCGAGCGAGTCACAACATACCCATTTTGTCTACATTCCATTATCCAGTCATTCAGATCCTTTTCCATTCCATCAAATGTTGTAGCTTTGAAACGTAATGCTTTCTTCAACTTCGGCATGGCTTGCAATTTAGCCTCATTTTTCCTCCAATCTCTTACGAGTTTTTCACTGATGCGAAACTCTCTTGCAGCTATGCTATTATTGGCCTCTTTTACATGTTCAATAACTTTCAATTTAAGTGCAGCAGTGTAAGAAGCTCTCGTTTTCTTTGCAAAACTCATTTTTCTGAAGATAAGAATTTACCGAAAATATTCTGTTATTAATGTACCGTAATCTTAATAATCATTTAACAACAAACAAGAGTAAATAGTCAATCAAGTTCCCTTATATGGTGTACCGGTATGTTTCTTTCTCCCCCTCACTGCTCCTATGTGCCCATTTCTCCCCTTTTCTTCCCAGTCTCTATCTTCCGCCTCTGTCTCTTTTTCCCTCCCCCTGTGTCTCTCTCTTGCACATGTTTCATTATCCCCTATCCCCTGTGTGTCTCTCTTCCCCTCCCTTTCGTGTGTCTCTATGTCTCCTTCTCCTTCTCCTCCCCTTGTGTCTCTCTATTCCCTTTCTCCCGAGGCTGACCTTGCACGTGAGAGACTGGAAATATAACACAAATGTCTCTCTATCATGCTCCCTCGCGGTACCCACAATTCCCAGCATGGACACATCACGGAGTAAACACTACTCTATGATGTGGCTATGCTGTGCATTGTGGGAGCCGCGAGGGAGCATCATTCGGTAGTTTTGTCTGCTCCCTCCTTCAGTTCGTGCTTTCTGACAGCTGCACTGCTAGGATGAACCATGCTGCCCTGACAGTGTTTAAGCCCATAGTGTGCAGGGCAGCATAGTACGCCTTAACTATGGGCCAGGGACCCTACACTATAAGGCCAGGAATACATTTGTGTTCCTGACCTTGTACTGTTCCTTTAATATATAGCGTATATAGTGTATTCTTTAATATATAGTGTGTATATATTACACTGGCCCCCTTTTGCTTAGGGGGCAAGAGGGGGCCAGGGACCCTACACTATAAGGCCAGGAATACATTTGTGTTCCTGACCTTATACTGTTCCTTTAATATATAGCATATATAGTGTATCCTTTAATATATAGTGTGTATATAGTGTATATATTACACTGGCCCCCTTTTGCTTAGGGGGCAAGAGGGGGCCAGGGACCCTACACTATAAGGCCAGGAATACATTTGTGTTCCTGACCTTATACAGTTCCTTTAATATATAGTGTATCCTTTAATATATAGTGTGTATATATTACACTGGCCCCCTTTTGCTTAGGGGGCAAGAGGGGGCCAGGGACCCTACACTATAAGGCCATGAATACATTTGTGCTTCTGACCTTATACTGTTCCTTTAATATATAGCGTATATAGTGTATCCTTTAATATATAGTGTGTATATAGTGTATATATTACACTGGCCCCCTTTTGCTTAGGGGGCAAGAGGGGGCCAGGGACCCTACACTATAAGGCCAGGAATACATTTGTGTTCCTGACCCTATACTGTTCCTTTAATATATACACACACGCACTCACTGGCTCATACACAAATGCACTCATTGACTCTTGACACACACATTCACTGACAGAAACACATACCATACACACACTGACAGAAACACACACACTGACATAAACACTCACATTCACTAACAGAAACACACTCACTGACAGAAACACTCACGTTCACTGACAAAAACACACACGTTCACTCACAGAAACACACACGTTCACTGGCACAAACACATACATTCACTGACAGAAACACATACCGTACAGAAACACTCACGTTCACTGACAGAAACACACACATTCACTGACACAAACACATACACACACATTCACTGACAGAAACACATACCGTACACACACATACACAAACACTCACGTTCACTGACGGAAACACACACATTCACTGACAGAAACACACACATTCACTGACAGAAACACATACCGTACACACACACACACAAACACTCATGTTCACTGACAAACACACACATTCACTGACAGAAACACACACATTCACTGACACAAACACACACATTCACTGACAGAAACACATACCGTACACACACACACAAACACTCACGTTCACTGACAGAAACACACACATTCACTGACAGAAACACACACATTCACTGACACAAACACACACATTCACTGACAGAAACACATACCGTACACACACACACAAACACTCACGTTCACTGACAGAAACACTCACGTTCACTGACAGAAACACATACCGTACACTCACTGACAGAAACACACACTGACAGAAACATACACACAGACACACACACTCACTGACACATACACACACACTCACTGACACAAACACACACACTGACACAAACACACACACATTCATTGACAAACACACACTGACAAACAAACATACACACTGACAGAAACTCACTAGATTATAAACACTTTTGCTCTATTTCAAACACTTGGCTGCTGGGATATGATGTAATGTATCCCAGCAGCCCTTAACATAATGTGAGCTGATTGGCCCATCTGGAGGGGTGAGCTGATTGGCCCATCTGGAGGGGTGAGCTGATTGGTCCATCTGGAGGGGTGAGCTCATTTGGCCCGCGCGGCGCATCTGGAGGGGTAAGAGAAAGTGACCGGCGGGAGAGTGGTTTTATGTGCTCCCGCCGGTCCCACGGCCCCCTCCCTCCCGCTACCCTGATTATGCCGCTGCAGCCGCCGCCACCGCAGCTGACTCCGCCGCAGCCACCCTCCTTCATGCTTTCAGTGTCAGAAAGCATGAAGGTGAGTATGCCGCCGGACTGGCTAGGCGGCAGCCCGGTCCGGCGGCACCACTATGATGCGGCTATTCCCCCCCCTCACACCCGTGTATAAGTCGAGCCTGCAATATAACATTAATTTTGCAGGTAAAATTTCTCGACTTATACACGGGTATATACGGTATGTAACTATGTAATTTGGAAGTACCCGAGCATGGGAATAAAATGTGTAGTTATTTCATGTCGGGTTCACTAGTCTCCAGCAATCTAGTAGTTGATTTGAGTGGAAGGTTTGTATACATATTTTCTTTTGTAAATACCTTGGTTGTGACTTGTGTCTGGAGGTGTCAAGATGATAGTTAAAATCCCCACTGTATATCAGGATACCCATTGCAAATGAGTTCAGTTTAGAGATTGTGCACTTAAAATAGGATCCTTGTCTATTATTGTGGCTATAAATGTTCGCAAATGTGTAAGCTTGTGCATCTATGGTGCCTTTAAAGGACCACTATTGGCACCCAGACCACTTCAGCTCAATAAAGTGGTCTGGGTGCCAGGTCCATCTAGGGTTAACCCTGCAGCTGAAAACATAGCAGTTTCAGAGAAACAGCTATGTTTACAATAGGGTTAATCCAGCCTCTAGTGGCTGTCTCATTGATGGCTGCTAGTGGCGCTTCCACGCTTCTCACTGTGAAAATCACAGTGAGAAGACACTGGACGTCCGTAGGAAAGCATTGAGAAATGATTTCCTATGGACGGATTGAATGCGTGCACGGCTCTTGCCACACGTTCGCATTCAGAGCTGACGTCGGAAGAGGGAGGAGATATCCCTAGCACCAAGAGAGCCCGGCACTGGAGAAAGGTAAGTGATTAACCCCTTCCTCCCCCTTCATTCCCTAACTAAATTAGGGAATACGTTTCCAGCAATTATCCTGGATTACAATAAAGAGAATGCACAATTAAAGAAGATACTCAAGAAGCACTGGCACTTACTAAAAAAGGATAGACTACTAGCTAGTAGCCTACCAGATGTACCTTTTCAGGGGTGCACAGAATATAGAGAGAAAACTTACAAACAATCATTTAAAAGCAAACAAAGTAAAGATTGAAACGAAAAAGAAAGGGTTCTTTTATTGCCATGACTGCATTGCATGCAGATCAAGCAAATTAAACAAACAAAAGGAGTACATGAAATCTCCAAGAAAAATTCAAACGATCCAAGAGAATCATTTAAAATTGAAGATTTCATAACATGCAAGAGTACAAATGTAATCTACATACTGGAGTGCCCATGTGGACTCCAGTACGTAGGGAGAACTAAGAATAGGAGGCTGAATTTGAATAGTGTCCGTTTTTTGGATCTAACTCCCAACCATTTTAGTCATTTTCTTTTTTACGTCTGGCCCTTTAAGAATAACATCTTTATTTGTGCATTCTCTTATAACTAAATTAGGGAACACCTTTCCAGCAATTATCCTGGATTACAATAAAGAGAATGCACAATTAAAGAAGATACTCAAGAAGCACTGGCACTTACTAAAAAAGGATAGACTACTAGCTAGTAGCCTACCAGATGTATCTAGAATAATTTTCAGGGCTGCACAGCATATAAAGAGAAAACTTACAAACAATCATTTAAAAGCAAACAAAGTAAAGATTGAAACAAAAAAGAAAGGGTTCTTTTATTGCCATGACTGCATTGCATGCAGATCAAGCAAAAGAAAACAAACAAAAGGAGTACATGAAATCTCCAAGAAAAATTCAAATGATCCAAGAGAATCATTTAAAATTGAAGATTTCATAACATGCAAGAGTACAAATGTAATCTACGTACTGGATTGCCCATGTGGACTCCAGTGTGTAGGGAGAACTAAGAGACAACTATATGTCAGAATCAGAGAACATTTGCTGAATATCAAAAAGGTATTTATGCAACATTCAGTATCAGACCACTTCCAACAAAACCATGACTCGGATATGAGCCTTCTTAATTTTAAAGCAATCTCTAAAATAAGAAAAAACTGAAGAGGAGGAGACCATAATAAACAATTAGGTATGGAAGAAATGAAATGGATATATAACCTGCATACGTTACAACCCAATGGTTTGAATGCAGAATTCCAATTGTGTCATTTTTTTGGTTATACCCCCAACTCTATTTTAGTCATTTTCATTGTTTTTGACCGGCCCTTTAAGAATAGGAGGCTGAAGTTTCATAATTTTGGATCTAATTCCCAACCATTTTAGTCATTTTCTTTTTTACGTCTGGCCCTTTAAGAATAACATGCAAGTTAAATTAAATCTACTCCTTTTTGTACATATAATTAGTGTCCCTTCAAAGAAAACAGAGATTCCACATAGGAGATGTCATTTTTTATAGATATTTTTATTGATTAGTTACAATTATATTTATTTAAAGATATTTTTTGCACATATAGGAGGACGGCAATTTTAAAATGAGAAAAAAATATTATATATGTTTTTATATATTTTATATATTTAACTATTTTAAAGCTAATGTTTTGTATACATATTTTTATATTACTGTTTAACCCCTTAAGGACTGGACTGTTTTTGCGATGTTGTACATTTGCAACCAGGCATATTTTTACACTTTTGTGGTGTTTCTGTTTGGCTGTAATTTTCCGCTCTCTCATTTACTGTTCCCATACAAATTATATATTGTTTTTTTCAGGACAAAAGGGGCTTTCTTTACATACCATTATTCATATAATCTCATGTATTTTAATTTAAAAAAAATAAAAAAATATGATGAAAAATTGAAAAAAATACATGTTTTTTTACTTTTACTTGAAAAATATTTTGCTCATCTACAAAAGCGAATGAAAAAAACTGCTAAATAGATTCAAAAGTTTGTCCTGAAATTAAAAATACCCAGTGTTTACATGCTTTTTTGCTTTTTTTTTGCATGTTATAGGGCTATAGGTACAAGTAGGATATTGCGGTTTCAAAACATACATTTTTAAAATGTATCAATAGTGACATTGTAACACTATTATCTGTCATAAATCTCTGAATAACACCCCACATGTACATATTTTTTTTTAAGTAGACAACCCAGGGTATTCAATATGGGGTATGTCCAGTCTTTTTTAGTAGCCACTTAGTCGAAAACACTGGCCAAAGTAAGCATTCATATTTGTTTGTTTGTGAAAAAAGTAAAAAAACTAAATTGAACGCTAATTTTGGCCAGTGTTTGTGACCAAGTGGTTACTAAAAAAGACTGGACATACCCCATTTGCAATACCTTGGGTTGTCTTCTTTTGCAAATGGTATGCCATCATGGGGGTAATTCTCATTCCTGGGCTACCATACGCTCTCAAAGGCAACGTAACTAACCTGGCCATTTTCAATGTAAAAATATTTGACCCATATATTTGACCTTGTAACTTTCAAAAATGCTATAAAACCTGTACATGGGGGGTACTGTTTTACTCGGGAGACATCGCTGAACACAAATATTAGTGTTTAAAAACTGGAAAACGTATCACAACAATTATATCTTCAGTAAAATTGCTGTTTGTGTGTGAAAAATGCAAAAAAAGTAACTTTCACTGACAATATCATCGCTGTGATATGTTTTACTGTTTTGAATCACTAATATTTGTGTTCAGCGAAGTCTCCCGAGTAAAACAGTACCCCCCATGTACAGGTTTTAGGGTGTCGTAGAACGTTACAGGGTAAAATACAGTGCTAGCAAATTCAATTCTCTGGAATTTTGGCCTGGGTTGGCAGGCAGGTCCCTTAAATTGCAATCAATAAAATTACTGAATTATGTAAAACTATTACATAAATAAGCACGTAGAATTTAAATATATATGCATATTTATATATTTGAAGTCTACATGTATATTTATATAATTATTTATGTAATTTTGTATATGGACATATGTATATTTCATATTATTTTTATTTATTTATATATACATAGATATATATATATATATACAAATTCATTCTAAGTGTATTTTTATATAAATATATATATATATATATATATATATATATTAATTTTAAAATACAGTTAGAATAAAATTTCATATATATATATTTTTTTTCAATTTTTATTATTATTTAAAAAAAATTTTATTTAATTTAAATTACTTATTATTTATATTTTATAATAATATATATATATATATATATATACAATATATATAGTTAATATATATATATTATATATATACGTGTGTAATTTAATTATAAGTGTATTTTTATATTAATATAAGTACATATTAATATAAAAATACACTTAGTATGACATTATATATATGATATATAGACATATTATATATATATATATATATATATATATACACATATATATATATATATATAATATATGTCTATATATCATATTTATACACACATATAATTTTTTTTTTTTTATCAACACTATCACTATCACTATTTATCAACTTTATTTATTTTTTTGATTTTACACTAGCAGGGAGACTGCCTGTCAGCACAGACAATCCCCCTGCAGGCAGGCACCTATTGTGACGATGTGATCGCTGTGTTAAGCGATCACATGGCCACAAGGGTCCTAATCCAGTGTGGGGAGACCGTCTGGGCTGCAGGCAGTCTCCCCACACCGGGAGCAACGCTGATTGCCACCGGGGGAACGACGGCGATCAGGTAAGTAACTAGGACCGTTAGGACGGTTCAGGACCGTCAGCGGTCCTTAAGGGGTTAAAATAAGCCAGACACAAACTAAAAGTATAAAGATATCCTCTATACAACAGGGGAATATTGTTGAAACATATAGGTATAGAATTGGGAGCTGCTAGTAATTGAGAAGTAACTATACTCTCAATTCCTCTTTTCTTTTCATTCCTACTTTTCTGTCTAAAACATAAAGCATTTGAAATTGAATAACAGTTTAATTCACAACTGTTCCAGAGGGAGTAACTATGGAAACATATGAAGTACAAATGTGTTTTAAAATGTATAAGTGTAAGGAAACCTAGTATATCCAATACCCATTCGGTAGTTTCCTCCTGAACGGCCAGAGTAGCAGTAAATTATAACTCTCCGTTCGATGAAATAAAATAAGTGATTCCCATATGAATAACAGCTTCCCAAGTAGATTTC